CATAAGGACATTTTTGATTTAATCATCAGTCAGCAAAGGAGAAGACAAAAACAACCAATTTCCAAGTGGGCCTTCAACTCTGGAATAAAACAGTTGGTCTAGAGTATATTAAAGAAGTCAGCCATCTTACTGGGTAAAGTTTAGCATCATGGGCCCAGCTTAATTTTGACCTTCTGTTGTAGCTGCTTTACTGTCCCTGTATCAGCTTTTGTCAAGTATGACTGAGGATGAATAAAAGAACTTTTTGAGAGAAGATGGGCATTTATCCTGGAGCAGAGTGCATTTCCTTCCACATTGCAATGCTCACTAATCAGTGCCAGGAGGCCTTGCTCAGACCTTTCGTCAATAACAGCTGAGAGTTAGGGGACAGAAGAGGACTGCAGCCGACTGTGAAAACCAATTTATAACGTGACAAAACAAGTGCAATGCTTAGCCCAGAGGATTTTGGAGTTAAATACAGAGGAAGAAGCTGTTGATCAGAATGTTTTATAGGAGGTAGTCTGGAAAAGATCACTGGCAAAAGACAACTTATTCAGTTTTTCTGGAAGGATATGTGTGACCCTGGGAACACTGTATTAAAATTTCAGTTAGGAATAAGGGCCTTGGATCTCTTAACAGAAGCTGTGCAACAGTGAATCATTTGTATCAACATGCAGAAAAGCTGCAAACCAGCCTTACAGTGAATGCCAAATCTATCAGAATTGAGAGACAAGAATGAGCCTGTCACTTGGAAAGGCCTTCTGCTGAAATGCAAAAAAATTATTAAAAATTAAACTTTACTGTATTGATTTGTACTATCAAAAACAATTTAGAAAGTGTAAAGCAACTTGATTTTAGCATAGAAAAACAATTGTCATCATAGCAAAAGCAAGCTAGTGAATTATGTGTGTACGTATGTGAGTTCTGTTTCAGAATCCTTGCTTCCAACAACTTTTGAGGGACACAGGTGTCCTCCAGAACATTTTAGAGCTCTCTAGAGGGTCTAGCTAAAAAGTCAAAGCAAATAAAGGACATCCCAAGGGAAAAGTCATATAGGAATTACTTATGTTAGAGCCACACCTTTAAATTCTGGCCATCTAAACTTTAGTCCCACCTAAGATAATTCCTTTGAATATTTCTCATGGCTCTTTAGAATTGCATATCTTACAGACTCATAGAATGGTTTGGGCTGGGCCTAAAAGAGCATTCACTTCCAACCCCCATGCCATAGGCAGGGACACCTTTCACTAGCCCAGGTTGCTCAGAGCTCCATCCAACCTGGCCTTGAACACTTCCAGGGATGGCAGTCTAATGAGAACACATAATTAGCCAATGTCTTAAAATGCATCTACGTGTTCTTTCAATTTTGTGCTTTATGGAGCTCTAGAACAAGAAAAGTTTTGTCAATAAATGTTTGCTTAGGAGACCTGACATCATGGTTTTAATTCCATTGGCTTGGAAAATCCGAAGTCAATAACTTTTTGCTATTTTTTTTTAATAGAACCCCCATATTTTGTAATTTTTTCCACTTTTAAAAGTTTCCAGGTGTTGATAGACACAGCAATATGAGTCCTTACTGCAAGAGTTAGTTTAAGCACAGGTAATTAATGTGTTGTTCTTTCACAGTCTATTACAATGAGAACTGGTAACACATATTGGGTAAAATAGGAATATCATTTAAAAGATTTAAAAGGAGCATAGCACACACAGGTTTATAGCATTGCCTGAATTTTCTACTACCTGAGTGGAGAAATAATAGTGAGTCACCCTGTACACTAGGGGAAAAATTTTACAGGAGCAAGAATATAGGATTCTCTCTATTATGCCAGAAAAATTTATTCTAGTCCCTTGTTTCTGTTCCCTAGAAATTGCCTTTCTCACCCACATACTTACAAACGTACAGCTGAAATATTTTCTTCAAGACAACTTCTCTAGCTGGCATACCAAAAAGACATCTTTATGTAAGGGTTTCTGCAATATGCCCTTTGCCGCTACAGACTAACAGTCTTTCGCTGGAAGTGGACAATCTCACTACAGATGCTTTAAGAGCTGAGTGAGATCTCTCTCTAATCTCTTGTATGGCCCCTGGTACTATCACCTCAAAGCTTTTCCTCAGGTGTGCTCCATATGAATTAATTCTGACATATCTATGAAAAATAAAAGATAAATTCATTAGTTCTACAGTTTATAAACTTATGGAAATACAGCTTTTTGATTATTCTGCATTCTTTGGTGGTATTAACTTTAAAAATACCCTGGTAAAAGTGGATTGCTGTGCCAAATACCATTACTTTCTGTAACGATGTGTAGTTCAATACATGTGAACCCCATTATAAAAGCCTTTCTATAGAAACACAGATTTTTTTGTATCCAAACTGTAATCATTAACGAAAGGCTGACTGAAGCTGTGTTAAACACCCTCAGAATGCTTGAAGTGGTTTAATGTGGTTTTCTACAGAACTGTTCTTTAAAAAAATGCCAGTTTTAAACACCTGCATTTAATAGTTACTACAATTACAGAAAGGAAAAAGACAGACTGAGAATCTTGCATCTTCACTGATGTGGAAAAAAGCACAAAAAGGACTTGATAAGCCACGAATAAAAGGCCCATTAAGGAAGTCATAAAAATATCTCTGTATGTATCCAGTGTAGTGCTCATCTCCTGCTGCATTTGTGAGATACCAAGAGACCTGATTTGACCTGTTATGCTCTGAAGGCACAATTTTTAGGCAGTAATCTTCATTTCTTCTGTGTCCTAGCCTACTTAGGCTGTCTAGGGTATCTATAGATGCCCTAGCTAATCGTGAGATACCTATTCCATTCTCCTAATCATATCCAACAGGTGAAGGTCCATATGTCCATGCCTTCAGATATGCACTTTTAAGAGGGATGCCACATCAAACTGTTGTCTTTTAAAACAATGCAATAATTGTTTTGGCTTTTTGTTTGTTTTGGGTTTTTTTACAATTTTAGCCAGAAGAGAGCATGTGACATCCTTTTCAGGTAAATCCCTTCTGAAAGATTTTCCTTGTATCACTAACAGTTCGTTAGAAAGCCAGTTGCCATTTTCCACTTTATTAATTTCACTTACTGAAATTAATTCCTTATTCCTTTAACATCCCTATCAGAATCCTGAATGACAAACAATTAATCAAGTCTGGCTTTAAAAGCATGACCTGAAAATCTTTCTATTCCAAGTCAAAATATGGGTAACTAAAAGATGTAAATTAAAATAGTTTTCTAATACAAATTGGCATTACTATATATACTATTCATGTAACTGTTTACTTACCCTGTGTGACACAACCATTTTTGCCAAAAATGTGGTATTTATGTGACATCTTTAAAGGAAGGCAACTTTTGCTGGCAGCTGATTAATACATTTTTTGGCTAGTGAAAATGTAACAAAAATCTGTAATTTTGTGAAGCTAACTCATCAGCAGCAGATGGATGACATCTGAAGCACTAGCCACATGTAAAGGAATTATAGCAGCAGTAGAGAGGGCTGAATTTTGCCCACTCAGATTACAGACTACTTACAGTTTATATACTGACACAAATAGCAGTGCAGTGTTGCCATAGAAACTTGTAGACCAGTAAAATATTCCTCCAGCTCTTCACCAATGAAGGAACAGGAATACAGAGCTTGGTATGGTAATGAGAGCAACCAGGGGATGATGAATGTGAACTGATTGAGGGTGAGGATTAAGTCAGACCTTAACAAGCCCTTAGCAGTGAAGAATGGCTGTGACTTCCCTGGTTAATACTAGCCGTATTTAATTCTCTAAGATCTGCCACATTTGTTGACAGGAAAATGTTTCACTGAAACATTGCTTTTTTTTTTTTTTCCTTTTCCTAGGGATTACACTGTCAGACATCTTTTGGATGCTTTCTTAGTCATTTTGTACTGGTTTTACATTTTAGGACTTTGGGGGAGGGGAACAGGATTCAAAATAGTATAGACTGTAGCTTCAGATCTCACAAAACTGAACTTTATGAATCAAATTAAGTAAAATTAGCTAATTAAAATTAATTTTAATGTCTGCACCATTTAATATTTCCTCATAAAAACTGCAAATGAGCTATTGTAATTCTCAGTGCATAACTAGAAATCTCATTCTAATTAAATTCATTTCATAATTGCATATTCAGGCATTTTACTCTAGTCAAGGTCACAGAGTAACATTTTTGCATGTTTATAGAATCACAGAATGTCTTTGGGTTGGAAGGGGTTAGAAGGGACCTTAAAAATCATCCAGTTCCTACCCCTTCCCTTGGGCAGTGTATCTTCCACTAGAACAGGTTGCTTAGACCCCCATCCAACCTGGCCTTCCAGAGATAGGGAAGTTATTGCTGATTTCTTTGAAAAATAAAACATCTCTATCAGTACCGAACATTACAATTTGCTAAACTTTTCGTTAAAAGATGTAAAAAAAAAAAAAAGAAAAAAAAGTCTGTGTCTTTTCCACCAACAATTTTTATGCTATTCTGCACACTTTCAAAGATTAGTTGATATGCCATATAACTCATCCCTCACAAGTCCATCCGTTGCAAATGCTAATTTTGTCACCCTAAAGAGTGTATGTTGGGTTTTCACTATTCAAAATGTTATCATCACAGTGCACAAGTTGGGATGTTTTTATATACATAGTAAAGTGTAGTTACTACCTCTCCCATAATGTCTGAAGAGCAAAGAAAATATACTGTATAATCCATACTACCCCGATTATTCTGTTTCCAAACATTTGCAGCAACTTAAAAAACATATGCTGATTTTTAGGATGCAGGCTGGACAGACTGAAAGATTAAAAAATTAAACAGCTGAGATAACCTAGCAAGTCAATCAGAGGGAACTCAGAACTTGGACTTCTAGGCCAATGGTTAGGACTGGATAAATGCTGCATTAATCACACAGTATGTCCAAGCAAGTTATCAAATACAGAAATAAAGGAAATTGAGTACTTAATATCCCCATAATCAATGCTTATGAGAACTTTTTTTTGTTATACTGTTTATGTTACCTTGCTGTAGCCTGATTGTCCACATCAGTCTTTGATTTCTGAGGAGTCGCCTGTTCTGATGAAAGGGCAGCCCTGCAACAGGAATGGTGAAAATACAGTTAAGGCACAAGAAGATATTTGAAAATATACTGTATTAAATTGTTTATCACTGTAGATATTATATTTCTTTCAGTTGTAACTACAATGAGTTCGCATTGTCTTTGAGAATTTTTTTGTGTTTTTTTATTTAAAAATATATATAGTATGTGTATAAAGAATTATACAGATATAAAATAAGAAATGCAATACTTTAGTTTGCTAGATTACCACATCCACTGAGCCTTTTGAAAAACTAATATCCCTAGAGTAGCTATTTTGCTAGTATGGATATAGTAATAAAGTGGAGTTTCTTTACTGTTCAAAAATTATTTTAGTAGTAAAAAAAATTGAAACACCTTTTCTCCTACCTAATAAATCTTACTTAGTAAAGACAAAACTTTTAACTAGCAAAGTACTGATTTTTTAAAAGCTAAATATATAAATATTTACACTTTCCTACTTTTCTTTATTTATGTGACCAATCAAATGGTCACTGCAGGATACTAAAATTATGAGTAATTATAAGAAGAGGAGAAGATGGCAGAGTTAATGAGGGTTACCTACTTCTTGAGAGAATTTTTCTATTAATATGGCAACTAAACCATAACAAGTTGTGTAGCTATCTTAATTATAATTCATGAAATTGCAGGCTGATTAAGTAATCTTTTCTTAATTTAGACCATGTGAAGTATACATTTAATTAATGATGTTAATTTATTTTCTAAAATTAGAGCAACCTTTGCAGACACTCAAGTTTAGAGTACTTTGCATCAATTCATCTTAATACCTTTGTCGTGGTTTAGGGTCTCTGATAACAAACTGTGCATCTTCCCTCCCCCTTCACTCTTGAAACCAGTCTTAAAGTTGCAGAATTTAATATCCAACATAAACAGAACAGATGACTGGGGATACAAGCATCATAAAGTCATCCCAGGACAGCCTTCTATTACAAGCCTTTGCATGTGCAGAGCTGCTTGATTTAACTTTCTTTTTCTTCACGTTGCTTACATGGTCTTTAACAGTTTCTTTTTCTTTGCATAGCTCACACTCTCTCTTTCACTGACTTTAGAGCAGCAGTTGCATATAAAAGAGTATTTGCATTAGCAACATAAATGGCTGTGGAACTAAAACTGCAAAACAGGTTTTAATGTTTTATGCAGTTTAATATTTTTTTAATTTCAGTAAATATCCAATGCAATGTTCTAAGCTGCATGCAAATAATTGCATTTCTTCAGGCAAGGAAGTCTTCTTCATGCACTTCTGCAACATCTACTATAGAGGAGCCCTCCCAGGTAAATTATACAGTGTTTGTATTATAAATAAATGTAAAATAATAATCGAGGTTTATGCAAAGGAGCATGTTACATTGCTAAATCTACTAAGAAGCAAAGTAAGACATACGTTGTTGAAGCGTCTGAATTTCCTGAAGTGGTTCTAGAGAAAGAAAAGGGTGAACATTTCAGAAACCAAGTAGCAAAATCCTAGTATTGAAGCACTTTGCAAGATTTAGATCAATCAACAGCAATTACTTTTACTTTCCCTTCCTTCCAAGATAATTTTTTTAATGTAGACTATATGTTTAACTCAAGTAGTATAATACTAAATTCAAACCATATTCTTTATGTCATTAAGACAATCATTCTTCAATTAACATTCTCCAGTTAATCACTTTGATTAACAGTGTTTTGATTTCAGCACACAATCCACAACCTTAAAACTCAAATACAGTGAGCTGCTTATAGTCTTAGCTTCAACTGCAATTTCTTTCAAGTGTTCTGTAAAGTGTGTTCAATCAGCTGGAACTGAGGCAAAGAACTCTGAAAGTTTATAAATCATGTTTAACTATAAAAGGCTGGAATTAGATCTCAGAATTTCAAAAATATGTAAATAACCCTGACCAAGAAAACCCACATATCCACGATTGCTGGACTCCCTTCCTGAGGATAGCAGAGCAGTCAGCCATTCTCAAATGTGAAGAATAGACAACTGATATAGCTCTTTGCTCAGTCTTTAAGACTGATAGTGACCTTTAGAAACTGTGCTTATTAGCATCTATGCATGCACTTTATTTCCTGAAACTCACAGGCAAGTAAAAGGTTTTCCTTTGATAACTATTTTTAGTTACTGTAATATTCATAATTTGAAATAGCTTTCACATCTTCACTTTAAAGCACTTTTAAAAGCTAAACCAAGTAATCATTAAATGCTCATCACTTTTTTACCAGCTGTTTGTGATGGCAGCATTGTTAGAGGATCCAGGAAGGGTCATGAAAGCTTCAGAAAGAATATGCCTGTTTTCAGTCTTCTCTGAACTGCGAGACTGGAGGAGTGACTGGATAATTAGTGCTGAGAAGAATACAGGAATTCCAGCTTGCTATTGAAAGCTGGGTGGAATTCCATATAGAGTACTATCCTATGCTTTCAAAATTACCATGATCTTAGCAAGATACTGAAATGAAGCCAGATATATTCTCAGTTGGCACATTGAGAACATCTAGTAAGGACTGACTTAAAATTAACTTCAGCGTCTATGAGCCATCTTTCTGCTGGGTGGAAAGTGACTTTGAATCTTGGCCAAACAGATAGAGGGTAGTAAACAGAGTAAGATTAAAAACAATTGCTAAACTTGGTTTTAAATGTTCTAGTGCCAGACATTCCATAAACTCCCTGGGCAAAAGTCTACCAAGGCTTATATCTAACATCCCAGTGTATCCATTCATTTCTGTTTCATTTAATTTTCCTCATTGTTGCACATAAGACTACTGTTGGAAGTTTCCCAGATTAAAACTAGAGAAGCAGAAGGCCATGCTGCAGCAAATAGTGAACATAAGCAAAGAATACTCTGAAGGTTTATTTATTAATATTTTAAACCATCCATATTCTGCTTTTCCATAAGAGCACAAGAAACCTTCCCTGTTCTCTTTCTATTCTTCCAGGAAACAACCACAACTTCAGAAAAAAAACCATCAAACATTCATCTGCAAGTAACTTTTATCTGATTGTTTGTTCTTGGATACTTTTCTGACAGGGGACTTAGTAGATTTTGAAGTTTTGTTCACACTGGTACCCAAAAGGACCAAGGGTGAGCCCCTGACTGTGAATACAAATGGCACCCACAGATTCCTGCCCTTATGGCCAGTCTCTCTACAGCACTTTTGCTGCAGGAGAATTAAATGGAATCGTCCAAAGTGAAACCATGAAGAAAGAATTGCAAGCATGATAGAAAAATTTTGGGAGCACTCACATAACCTCAGTTGCTGGTACTTAATATACGCAGGACCCAGTCAATGCTGGGCATCAGGCTGCCAAGAGCCCAAACAAGAACTTAGGCATGGGATGCTTTCTCTATGCATGGCATCTTCTGCATCAAACTCAGTCCATCAAAGAACTGCCCTGCTTTCTTGCTCCCAAAATTAGCTGTAGCCAAGAGTTAGGAAATAACCAACGATCGCTGATACACACCGTTTGCTTTCCACTGTTTCTGTTGGAGTCTTACTGCTCGAAACTGGGGGAGGCATCCAAGATTGCCTGTAAATTTTAATAAATTATTTTTTCAGTATTAGTTTAGTGCTCTGGGCCTGAACAGAGTACTGTGAATGTTAGAATGGAAGTGATGTAAAAATATCTGGAACTTTTCTTAAATTATCAGTATTTTCAAAGACTGTATGTTGATACTTTTTAGACCATATTTACAGAAAACTGAATAGAATAGGGAATAATACAGTAATTTTATGTATTGTGAAAAATGTATTCTGTGACTCTAGTTGGTCTTTTCTGCAATCTGAGTGGTACAAATAAGTGGAAAGGACAACCAGATAAAATGCACAAAAGAGTGTCAAATATCAACACAAGAAACACAATCGGGCTATTATAGGTCACATGAGCAGCACAAGCACTTTCAGTTCCTTTTTTGGTTTTGTTTTGTTTGTTTTTTTACCCCTCGAAACTATCAATCCAACAATTGTTTGTGAGGTAAAAACAATTACACCAGAAGCAGTACAATTCATTTATGGCCTTCCAAATCTTCTAAGAGCCTGAAGAGAACTACTGGACTGAAAATGCCATAAATTTCCACCAAACAGGTCTGTTAATATAAATACAATGACATTTTCATTTCTACATTCATTCTTCTACTGATCACATTTTTATGCATTAAAGATGAAAATCACAAATGAACAGCATTTGCAGCTGGAAAGGATGCAGAAAACTATGGCAATCACCAGCAGTACATTTTAAATTAAAAATGTATTTATTTCTACACCCTGTTTTTATTCTTGCCTAAATAATGGTATCTGAAATTCAGGTTTTTAAAGGTAGCTGTGTATCATTCAGAAAACTGTGTGATTCATATTCACTGCAACAGCACAGGGTCAAGTTTGGCATCAGAGATTTCACAATTACAGTGAGCTATATTGCTTTAAAACTGGACACTGAAAATGAGTACACCAGCTGAGTTAGGGGCTGCAGCCAAGAGTTAGCACCTATAGCCATGTCCACCAGGCTCACAAAACTGGCTTTACAGAGACTGAATTTGTAAATCCCATGGAAAAAGACAGAGGATGTAAAAGTTTAATTCTTGAAGCTTGCTGAGAAGTTTGAGTGTGCTGGAGGTGGAAGTTGTTAATTTTTTAATGTACTTATGGTATATTACTGAGACTTATCACAGTGCTATATGCCCTCTGGCAACCAAGCAGTGGTGGCAATGAATACCTCTTTTTCTTGATTGGAGAAATGACTGGAGTGTTTGTTGATGCTGCGTTAGGAGTCCAAGATTGTCTGTTTAGGAAATATACTTTAGTGAGTTAATCTTCAGAAAAAGTATAATTTTAAATTATTTTAAAAATAGATAAGAAATCTTATTTCTGCTATCAGAGTGATACAAATGTGCATGGCAAATGCTATAACTATGTCTATATACCTCAAAGGACACAAGATGAGGGAGACGTTAAGGAGTTCTGATGTTTAGACAATTGCATTTTTACTTGATATCCAAAGTAATTTCTGACTTCTTCAAGTCTTGACTTCTCTACCTACACTTTAATCTCCAAACACTATAATAATAATAATGTATTTCATTTTCTTACTTTAAATTTTGTTTCTTGTTCAATTAGAATCCTTTATGTTATGATATGTTTGTAAAACTAACCTATATAAAATCCAAGCCAGTGACTTCTCGTAAAATTTATCAAAAAGTTACTGTCTTCTGCAATTCTTAATGATAGTAATTGGCAATTCATAATAACAGTAATTGAAGAATAGCACTTTATGAATCATTTTGCTCTCTGACAGGAAAAAAATATATACAATTTAAGTCTCTCTTAAGTCCCACTTCAGAATTAATTGTTGGTCTGTTAAAAATCCCTCTCCAAAAAAACCCTATAAAATCCAATTTATATGATGCTTCATGTGTCATCATCACCATGATCTACAACATAATGGTGCAAAATTATAATTTGAAAGAGTGACCTCAGTTGAACTTGATATGCCACAGATACTGATTTGCTCTTCAGAGTAATATCTCAACTCTCCATAAGATGACTTTTAATTGCAACTCTCTTCTGTGTAATTTATTACTGACAGAATTCTACTGCCATTGTCACTGCATTTGTCCCTTTGCCTTTAAGAGTATGGTGGCTGAGCTCTTCTGACTTTCTTAAATGAAAATTTCAATCAGGTAATTGGTGTAAGTTTTTTAGAAAATAATTTTTCAGTGTTGTGGAATTATATGACATGTATACAGTGGCCACCTCTGATTCATAGAAACTTTTAAAATAACATATCAACAATGTTGTGCTAACTTATTTAAAATTAAAATTGTTTTAATCAAAAGACTGGCCTTCTGACAAAATAAAAGGTTTCCATTGAAAAAATCAGCTAGCTTATCAAAAAACTATTTTTTATGTTTTGGTATTCAAGTTTTCCACTGGCAGTGTACAATGACATTTTCCAGTGAAAGCATTAAATAGAATTTTTCATTATCCTTCCTCAGAATTATGTATTGTGTTTGGTAGATTTTATGCAGAGAAATCTAAAGCTCTAGAATGTACCTACATTTTCCAAAATACTCTTATTCTTTCTCTTTTTTTGTATTTTAAATACTATAATTATTAAATAATCATTATGCTCAGTAAATGTGTAATGTGAGCTGGTTTCCCTTTTAAACTGTGTGGAAAAATAGACTTCTTTAAGAAAAATTGTTCTTATTTTAATGATTTTTTTTTCTCCTCACCAACTCTAAAGAGTCTATGGCAATTTAGATATAGATGCTACGTTCCAGAGGTCAGGTGATCAAATGAAGCCTACACCAGACCATATGCCATGCAAATAATTTCTCTGTATAATCTTAGTATGTACATGAATTCTAAAGTTATGGTAATATATAACACTTAGATTATAATTATATATACAAATTATAATACATAATACTTAGATGATAAGGTTTCTGAAATTCATACCTGTTGTTTTGCTTATGGTTCAGAGTTGGGGATTTATTTATTTTATCAGGATCACTTCCAGCTGGAATTCTGATCAGAAACACAGGAATTATTTATAATACACACTCTATTTTTTAAAAAATCAATTTTCAATAGAATTAAAATATGGAGTATCATTTTGACCTGTGTACTGATATCCCACTATCATAAATATTCCAGTATCACAAAAGGTAGAGAATAGAAGCTGAAATTATATAAATTCAGTGCATTATTATCTGAAGGCTCTAAGTAGCTCACTGAAAAGGAGTTTTCCAAGATTATGTTCAAACAATAATGCTGTATTAAATCTGACTGTTGCTAAAAATTTATTACAACTCATATGAATTAGATCAAAATACCAGAAAGAAAGCAATGTTCAGTCAAGTAGTAAACACAGAACTATGGCATTTTTCTCTGCCTCACCATTCCTAGAGAGATGCAACAGTTTTGTTTATTTACAGATTTAAATAGATCAATGTGATGTGAAAATAATCTAGTGCAAAATCCCTGGCAAAGCATGGTATCGACTCACAGGAATAACTTCTATCAAAGATATATTCTTTATGCTTGAACTGATTTCATTAAGCCATGAAATTTACATGAAGAAATAACCCCATGATTTTTCAAGCACTTTATGGATTCTACACTTGCTGCCTAAACCCTTCGACATTTTCACAGAAAATACCATGTAGCCATCATAGCTGAAGCAGATTAGGTTCTTATTTTATTCCAGTTTACTTCCCGTATATGAAATATGCTTAGTAAGAACTGGGGGACTCTGAAAAGCTTAAATATAAAGTGATGTACATTGAAATAGAGGACGAATACTAAGTTGAGAGGGCTATCTTAAATATTTGATTAAATCAGCTGGAACACATCTTGAGTTACACTTATATATAAATTTTTAAAATTTTAATTATTTATTTTCATCTATAAACTGAAGCTATAGATGCAAAATAATTAATCTTAGAACTATAATCTGATGTTATGTATAAAATATTTTGTATCCTGCCTTCAAGCAGCACAGAATACTGTTGCTGGGAAGGTCACTAGAGGTCTCACTAAGCCTGCTGCAAGTGCTGCGAATGCAAACCCCAGCGCTCCCTCTCATTCCCCACTAGGCAGCGAATCAGCATTTCTTTCACATTTCATTGCGTGTTTTCAAAATTCACGCACAATGCTTTACATAGTTTTGTATTCTCTCATTTTAAAGCCTAAAAGGTTAGATCTGGCATCCTACTCCATTGCTGCCCAATGTAGCAGAAGCATAAAAAAAAAAAAAAATGAAAGAAAGGTAAGCATGATGTTAACTTCTCCTTGTATAACTTTCAAGCTTCTGATAATGTCTCAAAGAGTATCCTCTGCTCTCACTCACAACGCTGTCTCCAACAGACACCACGGATCAATGGTCCATTTACACATGTAATGCTTATCTGAACCAAGTTAAATTTCTGGCCTCCACAGTATCCTGTGGTAGTGACTCCTACAATTAATATATGTATAAAAGAAATTGTATTTTCCTTTTCTTTTCTTTTCTTTTCTTTTCTTTTCTTTTCTTTTCTTTTCTTTGCTTTGCTTTGCTTTGCTTTGCTTTGCTTTGCTTTGCTCTGTTTCATTTATTTTTAATTAATTACCCAAACATTTATAGGGCAACTCCTCATTCTTAGGGTGAAACAAACAGAAATTTTTTTTATGACTCAGTTTCCCTATATTATTCTTTTCCAAGCTGAGGACTTTTTGTCTTTTCAGACATTTTTCATATGAGAGCTATTCCATCCTTTCTCACCTTCCTCTTTAATTTTTTTTTTCTGGTTCTATTGTCATTTCTTCACATCAGTGAAAATCCTTTTTGGTACACTTTGTCATTAGTTGCATAATAAGAACCCTTTATGTTAGATATTTTGTGATGAAAAGACAGTCAGCTTACAATCTGAAATAGTTCAGATACTTTAATATCTCAGCATAAACCAAAAAGATATAGAGTACAAAAGTACAGTGCTCCTCAATGACCATGTAGAAACTGGATTTTTCCTATGACTTCTAAATTAGCAATCAAGGTTTGAGGCATGAAAATCAAGCTTTAAAAATTGTTTTGAAGTGAGTGACCATCTGGATAAATGTGACATAGGTGCTATATGCTACTTGAATTTCCAAAAAACTTCACAGAAGTCTGCTTTAAGTGTTCTTAAGTAAACTGACCTCCCATGGGTAATAGAGAAAAAACTGCTTGAAATGTGAGAGACAAAGGTTTTAAATAAATGGCAAGTTTCCAGAGTGGGAAGAAGAGATGTGTACAAAACCTGTGTCCTTCCATACGTTCATGAATTATCTGGAAAAAGGAGAGTGGGATGATGTTGCTTGCCAATGTCATTACTTCATGGTAGTCAAAACAAATGGCAACTGGCAAAGCTTTTCAGAAGTCATCTGATAAGATGTCAGGTTTCTAATATGGCAGATGACATTCACTTTTGTTGGATGCAAAGTAATGCCTGCCAAGAGAAACAATTGGTCTCTGAACCAGCAATTATCTCTCAAAAAAGAAGTCTTGGAATTATATAGATAATGTTGTGAAAATTAAAATTCAATTCTTAGCAGCACTGAAAAGAGCAAACTCAAAGTTATGAAGTACAAGGGGAGGAACTGCAAATTAAATAGAAATCATTGTTATTACTCCTCTGTGTATATACAAGGTGTACACCCATCTTAAATACCTACATGGAGATTTGGATTCCCAGATCAAAAAAACTAATATGGAAATAGAAAAGATACAAAGAAGAGCAACAAGTAAATTGAAGTTATAGAATGCCTCCTCATGATGAGTCAACCAATACATCAGGATTCACTGGGCTGTAAAAGAATAAGCAGGGTGATGATACTGCACATCTCCAGCCTATTCTTTTTCAAACTCGTGTGAAAAAGGTAAATTTTATGTAACTTTTTTGCATTGTTTCTTACAAGAAAAAAATAAGGATCATGAAATAAATTAACACAGTGCTAAAACCCAACTAAATAAAGTTCAATTTTCCCACATTGTGCGTTTAAGTGCTTGTTCTCCATAGCCTCAGCATGTTCTGGATACCAGATATTAAGGGTGGCTGTATTTTGAAGATGCAACACGGAAAGAATCTGCAAACACCAGCATGGTCATGTCTTAACCCATCAGAGGTCAAGGCTGAAGAGAGCATTCAAATTAAGCACCTGTATGACAAGCATGACTGATATTGGTACCCATCTTAGTATTTGCAAAGAACTATGGGTTTAGTCATGTTGTACTTAGCTATTGGATATATGACTTTGGTTTACAGTTTGAAAAGGAGGAAACTGGGGAGGAGTGGTTATCAGCTGTGGAAAGATACTTACGTTTATGAGGACAAGAATACACAGAAGCAGGTACCAAAAAAAAGAGAAGATACCAAAAGAACCTTTTCTCAAATCACATTTTCATTTGTGTCATTGAAAATTAGTGCAAAAATCATTCAAAGTCTTTTACTTAGATGCTTAATAAATAAGAAAACTTAAAAAAAACACTGACTTCATTCATTCTTTCATTTTTACGACCCCTCACAGGTATGACAATCACAATATACAATACATCCAGAAACAATGTCCCACCTGTCCAATGTGGTATCAGATTTGTATCGTCCAATTACAGCTTTCTGATCTTCCTTTTCAGTTGTTGTACTGCTGTAATAAAAATTTAGAAATGCCATTTTGGTCACTGATCTTATTAAACAACTCATCATTAATAAAAGAGTATCTATGTCTCAGATTAAGATATCATACAGAGTTTTAGACTATCCAGGTGTCAACAGATCTAACCCTGGATCCACTGCAGTGATCAATTATTGACACTGGAGTCAGATTTACAGTGAAAATATGTATAGATTAAAACTGAACAAAGCAAGTTATTTGCTTTGTTCAGGACAAAGTAGAAGGATACTCAGTTTTCCTTGGTAGTATAATTAGAAAGGTGTTCAGATACTCTACCATACCTGTGTAGACCATCTTGGGACTTGTATTGGTTAAGCACAGCCCTTCCGTAGTTTTCATCAGCACTTCAAGCAAAAGAAGAACAATGAGTAATAAAATGAGATAATTTTTTCTTGGCAAAAAATTTCTATCTTCAATCAGATTTCACAGCTGTCCACTACCACAGTAATTGCACCAGCTGCAGAACCCTGCAGTCAAAAACTCCAGATATTTTGGAGTAAGAATGATCTTTTCCTACAAGCTGTTCATGGACCAGATAATGATAACATGGTTCCAAGGCATTGTTTCTGCTCTAATTTAAGTTCTAGTTTACATTAGAGTAAATTTAAACTGATTCTTAATTAGTATCCTTAAAAGAACTTGCCAAGATTTATAATCTTCTTGCTTATAAAAAGATCATAGTCTTGCAACCTAGACATGTGAAATGTGGGAATTTACTTGTAGAGCAGAACTTCATTAAATATTCAACACTCAAAAGTCCCAATGAAAAACAGTCAATGAATATTCAGCAAACTAATACTTCCAAAAGGCAATCAATACCTCATCAAGATAAATAAATAAGAGTTATTTGGTTGAATTCCCCTAATTCTGGTTGATACCATCCATGCAAAAGTAGACACTCCATGCAAAGGTACATGGCACACAGAAATAAATATGGAAGAAATGTTTCATATTTTTCTTACCTTTCCTCCTCAGGCCTCTTCTTTATCCAGCTGTTGTCTTGCAAAAGGGTCCGTCGTTTATTACTATCATGAGTAGCCTGTTGTCTGCTTTTAATTGCAACAGAGGGGCTCTTCTTATCTGCAAATGCAGAAAAACACGTCTTGAAAATGAACATGTAGAAAAACTTTGGAAATCTAAAGTACTATTACGTAGGTTGAAATAGATAAAAGTTTAATACAGATTGAATTTTCAGTTATCACATTTGTTTAAACCAGATTGCTTCTTGAAAAGTTTGTAGTGTAGCTTCACCTTGAAGGGCCTGCAGAAGCCCAGCTTAGCAAACTGAATTCAGTTTCATCCTTAATATGAAACTGCTTCGCCTATTTCTAATGTAAACACATTTCACAGATCTGATAAAGGAATTATGAAATTTGCATACCACAGTAATCCCAGGAAAGTCAAACTAATAAATCCTGTTTCCTGGGGTGTTGTCTATGGGTTTTGTATTTGCAGATGTGTGACAGGATATAAATTTTGAAGGAAGGCTAATCTTGAGGTGACCACGTGGCCCTCCAACTACACCCAGCTCAAAATATGTGGATTTTCATGTTTCTCAAAGAGTCAGACTCCCTCTGAAGTTTTTTCCTCAAAGGCTGAATGAACAGAGTTTCTTTTCTAGTCAGTTACTTAGTTTTACTGAACTTGAATTAAAGCAATACCTTTACAACAAATTTAACTAAAATTGGTGTATAGTTTCAAAAGTTATTGGGAGAGACAGACTGGTATGCTGAACAAGCATGGGAGCTTTACTTACTTTCAAAAAAAATCAAAATATTTTGTCCAACAAGGCTGATATTTAGTGTATTGGGAAAGTAAGAGTAGCATATTCACCTGATTTGGGAGACTATAGTTTCTTCCCTGTATTAGAAAGCTGATGTTAATCTCCTTTGGTTTTTTCATGAGGATTTTTTCCCCTTTTTGCAAGCAAAAATATGCAATGACTATCGTTCAGTATTCTCAGTCCACATAAGTTTCATATCATCAGCCTGTTTGCGGTAAAAGGAACTACTGATGTGAAATTTTAACATGGCCTATTAAAATGAAAAGTTAGAAGTTCAGACTGAATAGAAATTCCATCTTTTTAATTGCTACATTTGCCCCAAATTTTTCCAGAGAAGGTGCAATATTAACTATGCAAAATCTTTGTTAATACAACCAATTAATTAAAAAAAAAAAAAAGAAAAAAAAAGAAAGAATACAGAGGATATGTTTTCCTCTAAAGACCCTCATGGTTTTCTCCAGTAATTCCTCACTCTCTGAGCATTCATGTAAAAGGATTTTCAAATTGCAAGAGACATCACTATCTGGTGTTCAGTAGTTAGACTGTAAACATTGTGTGTAAAAGAACATGCTCCAGAGAAAACACATGCAGTCAGTAATTTGTCATTTGTCAGAGCTGTGTTTTGACATTCTACTCTGATTTATAAGAAAATGCACTTCTTGCATTTAATACAAGAACTTCACCTGTAGTGATCACATTAAAAAATGACAAATAGGTACAGTGAGTGCAAGACCAAATCATAACAAAGCACCAAAACATTTATCTTTAGTGACAATGGCCAAGAGTGAATTTTTAAATACTTTTTTTTGGTAAAAGTAGATAGAATAGAGATAAAATTCCGTAAAAAGAATAAAATGAGATCTGTAAAAAGAGATAAAAATCAGTTTTAAAATGTATCTATATCTGTAGTTCAACCTGTGCCTGTTTCAATTCCCTATAGGTATGTCCATACTGCCAAGTGGAAGAGAAGGAATGAAAGGTTTGGACTCATCACTGATGTTGCCTTGTTTAATGTTGTAAATATTCTCTAGTTCTGTGTTGGACTTGCTCTCTCCAAGACTGAGGTGCTAGAGAAGTGACAGATGTTTTAAAAGCCATGGCTGTGATAGCACAGATGTGTGCTTCCATCTCTTGGCCTTGATACCCAGATTTGGCTTTCTTCTTTTTAAACAGCATAGACCCAGCCATTTGACAAACGACCAGGGACAGGAAAAATGCTGTTTGTAAGAATGAGCTGACAATCATAGTAGATTAACAAAAACTAATCTATGCTCACTGCATGAATTCTGCATTGGCATGTTCACTGCCTATTGAGCTAGTTTTTCTCTTAAAAATATTTATTAAAATCTGACTTTAAAGACTTCCAAAAAATGAAGGCAATCCCAGGCTTGCTTGAATAACTCCAGTGGGTCATCAAAAGTCACTTGGATTTCTCAGAAATCGTGGCTTTTTAGATGGCTAAGTGCAAAGAATGTTTCATGAAACATTGTATAAATGCGGTAGACAAGGAATATATATCATTTTCTTGTCAAGAAACTCTTCACAAGTGTTTAGCAGATTAGCGAGCAATCTGCTAATGCCTGAGGCCCTGAGCTAGCAGAACAGTACTCTTTTCTGGCCTAATGAATTTTCTCCCAAGCATCAGCTGAAAAATTAAACATAGATCTAATACAAAATATTAGCTCATACGAGGACGGGCACATGCAGCTCATCCCTGTCTCTACTTGACAATAAAAATCGATGTCCTCCGTACAGTGGAGTCAAGCAGCTCCCTGCTGTGTCTACATGAATTTTGGTGCACTTAAGCCTGGCACATCCCACCTGAACCAGGTCCTCATGCAGCTCAAAACCTTTCAGTCTATAGAAATATTTTTGAGGTTCAGGGAAATGGAAAATTTCATCAGATTTCTAGTTGGCCTCTGGTTATTTCTCTGCATGGAAAGCAAATTCCAGCCCTCCTCGAGTTTTATTCCTTCAGAAGAGTAAACAATCCCAGCAGACAACATTAAACAGCTTTTCTCTCCCCTTCCTCCGTTCTACTTTTCCTCGATTTCTCCTCATTTTCCCTGTGCGAGTCAAAGAGACGGTGCTGAGACCAGTGGATATTCCCACAGCCCTTGCAGCCACCTTGTTTCTGTGTTTTTTCCACGATTCCCACACCACCTTGCCCTGCACCACCACCACATTCTGCTGCCCAGCGGGATGTTCTGGCCTGAATCCCTGCCAGCCACAGTTTGTGCACAACTCCAAGAGTTTGGCATCTGAAGAGGGTGACAGTGGCCCTAATCACCCTCCTGCCGGTGCCCCGGGAGGGAGCTGTGCCTGGGGCGCGCAGAGGCCTGGGCAGGAAGGGAGGCCGCGCCTCAGCCTGCCAGTGCCCCTGGAGCAGGGAATGGAGGAGACTCGGCATTACCACTTTGATTAGGAGACTGCTTTCGTATGCTGAAAGCTGACATTTGTTCCGTGGGGTTGTTCCGTCCTTCTGCGGGAATCTGAAAAGAAAACGTGACAAAGAAAAGGAGATGAGCGTTGACAGCAAGATTAGGAATCGGCCCCAAAGACAGGTCAAGTTTGTTGTCCACTTCGATCATCTCCTGGTACAAATTTAGTCTGAGAGGCTGGAATGGCTTAGGGCCAGCTGCAGCCCTCCTCAGAGGGAGTCTGGTGGCTTTTCCCTGCCTGATGACAACGATGTGCATTCCTGCCCGCCCCTCTGCCTGTCACACTGTCCCTTCCCTGTTGGCAGCTCCTTCCTTGAGAACACTTGGCATGGTGATGAGAGCCTTCAGCAGGCACGACAGAGTACTGAAGAATGGGTTGAGGTGATGAGCTGAATGGGACGATGGAATCAGTCCCTGGCACAGCACCTGGAGCACAGGTGAGCTCATCCAGCCCTGCTGATGGGTCTCTCTGTTTCAGTGGCCAGCAGCTAACACAGAGAGCCAGGACAAAAAGAAGTTCTGCTGCTCTGCAACAGTTTCCCAGTCACTGACTTCTTCCCTTACTTCAAATCTGGTTAAAAGCCTCCAAGACTGATGATTTAAAAAAAAATAAAATTAAAAAACAAAAATATATATGTGGATATTGGTGAGAGTCAGGGAAAAACAGCAGTCTGATTTTCCCAAGCTACTCAAAGGAAAACCGAAGGGAAAAAATTAATAACAAAGTTTAGCACCTGGTGTTGTTAACAGGATGAGTACGTGAGGAACATGATGTTTTGGTAAAAGCATGTTTACAGAGGTATTGCCTTCCTTGAACCAATGAGCTTATTCTATCCTTGGTTCAGCGAAACAGTCTATAAAAATGTGTCTACTTCTGCTTTCAGGAAGGAGTCTGTGTTGCTGTGTTTCTTCACTGCTCCCCAACCTTACAGCAACATATAGATAGATAGATAGATAGATAGATAGATAGATAGATAGATAGACAAAGTAGATTAGATATAGATATAGACATATATATATGTGTGTGTGTGTATATACACATATATATATTAGTTGGGAGTTGAGCCACTCAAAAGATTTCATGTTTTGTTTTGAAACTGGATTGTGAATACCATCTCTCCTAGAGAAAGCATCAAGCAGAACATAATGACCTTTCGATGACAAACAATTCTCCCTTAAGTTAAAAAAGCCTCAAATGCTAACATTGACTTAAGAGTTTGGGCAAAACTGACCCTCTTTAGCAAATTGCTTCCTTTTTTGGAAAGCAGAATTTTCCAAGAAAATAATGTTGTGCTGGAAAGCTCCAACCAGCTCCACTGTCAGGCTGCTAAAATTTACAGAAGAACCAGAAAACTGTGACAGAAGCAGTACTTAAAATTCAGAAACATGACTGATTCTCTGGATGACAGAGATATCCTTTTTTTTCTTTTGGCAGACGTAAAGTGTATTGCTTACACACCTAAAATAGAGTGGAAACACCAGGGCCTGTGGCTCTTTCTTTACTGATAGAAGGTGAAGATTTTGGATTCTGGCAAAAGCTTAAGAATAATGCTTACACTGACATTAAAACATTGTGGATGCCACAATAGATTGCATTTAGAGCAGATTTTTCCTTTCTATGCTTTTTCTGCCCAACAATTACTAAAAACAGCTTATTATTTAAAACAAAAACGAAAACACAACAAGAATCCCAACCCCCCCAAAAAACGATAAAAAAATAGCCCCCCCAAAAGTATCCCAACATTTAAAAACAAACAAATAAAAAGAAGCGTTAAACAGGTAGAGCTCTTTTTAGAAAGCAAAGATATAAATACAAAACTAATACCGGACTCCAAAGTTGGCATGTATCTTAACCAGTTGTGAAATTCCAAAATTTTGAAAGGCTCCTACCTGCATTCTTTTTTTTTTAACCTTAGTTGTTGGTACTAGGCAAGCATTGGCACAATGTGTGTAGAAAACATGTGACTGCTTGATCTGGTTCCCACACAATAAAAATATGCTCAGGGCTATGGTGAGCCTTATTTATTTTGCAATAGGTTATAAAATACCTTTTAAAATATTTATATAAGGTTTTAAGCATATATGAAGTGAATTTCCTAGAAAATGTTAATTTAGGCTATCAAGCAAGCAGTTTTTTAGATAATTACCACTTTCACTATAAATTTTCCTGAACTGTCCCAGGATGATAGAGAGGTCTCTAATTTACTTTTTCGGGTTACGTACAGCTGGACATCCAGCTGACTATACCCATGGATATAGTCAGTCCCAGGATAACAGAAAGTTTGATATTTCAGTTTCTTTTCAAGCAATGAGAACTGACACTTCTTCATCTCAAGAAGTAGAAGTTAGTATAGAAGGATTTTGGATTTATTTTCTATTAAGTACTTTTCAAGCCATTTGCTAAGGGAAATGAATTATAAAACTTTGAAAAAGGAGACTTCTTTTGTGAAAATTAAACCAAATGAAAAGATACTTTAAAGAGATTTGCAACTACTCTTGTATCCATGAGAATCCAGTATTCCTTTCATCCTCCAGTATTTAATTAAAACTGTGCTTTTTCTCAACCTATATTAATTTTTAAAATATTTTTAGGGCAAAATAATATTTCTGTTGCACGTCTGTACAGCATCCAGAATAAACTGCTGCACAGTCTCCCAACCCAAAAGCAGTATGCATAAGTGAATTTAAGAAACAAGTACACTCCCTTTTACAGTCAGCACTGAAAATGTGTCAGGTATTCTGAAATTTTAAACTCAGGTATTTTAGTCCTACAGAATATTGCCATTTTGTCCTTTAGGCTCTTTTTACCTCTAAGCTTTCAAGTTGTATATCAAAGATTAATCCATTAAAATTTAAAATGGAAATTTTAAAAAATCTTACTTTAATCTGTAGCACAGACAATCAAGACTCATCAGAGTAAGATTTAAATCTTAGGACTTAGAAGTGAAAAGAATCTTGCATAAAGAGGCAGAATAGGGCTCATCAAAGCATTTTTCCTTGCTCTTCACTATTTTGAACTCAGTGCGTGTTTATATCTGTGTATTTGAAAACGGGAGTGGACAAGAGATAATGAGGATCACATTAGTTTAAAAATATCAGCTCATAAAGATCTGGAATTGTCACATTATTCACACAGGTCAGTGAACAGCTCATCTTCAGACCACAGGGAGATAAAAAAAAAAGTTTTTAACTTTGTAAATGAGATTGTGAGAAAGCAGAGTTATAGCTTTCTATACTATGCTGTAGTAGCAAATTATGTTCAGACATTCTTAATAAGATCTCAACCACTGAAGCAAAACAGCTCAGCTGGAATGCAAAACAAAAACAAACAGGAATGCAACTCCAGTGTAATTTGTATTTAAAAACAGCGTCAGGGAACTCTAAACAAAAATTAAAACTGCCCTGGCCAGTCCAGTGAGCAGCTCCCAAATGGTTTTAAGACATGCCAGTCCTAGATTCAGACCCTCAAACATTTTGTGGGAAATCCAAACATAATCCCAAATAAATTCAGAAAAAACTTCAGACATGGCTTCAGGGAAAGTCAAAAGTCCATCTAACCCGGAAAGAAATTACTCCAAAAGCAGCATAAGTCTCCAACACTGTTTTTATCACAAATACCTATATTTACACTTCGACAACTCCTTTTCATCTCCCACAGTGACTGATCAGCAGACTACCTCAGGCCTGCCTTAAATTCTGAAAGCCAGACCTTCTAGTTTTCAGATCATCTGAACACACCCATTCCTCCATCACAGAGTCCTTTGCCTTCCTTCTGCTCTTGGCTGTAGCTGTCTATGTGATTAAGCTTCACACATATGCATTGCTGTATTTAAAAAAATACATACTAATAGAAGCATTTCCTGTAAGATTCATTTTTTCCACATCAGACTGAACTAGTTCCAACAAAAAACATCTTTGTTCTTTGGCTTCTAGCTATCACAGTGATTAAGACCTTACTCTTAAGTAGTCAGTTGATATGTATTTTGCTTCTAATAAAACAATATTAATTTCCACAGCTTAGAGGCAAGAGGCCTCTGCATTATCGTCACACTGTATAGTAAGGAATTCAGCATAGTAAATACTAAAGGAATGTTGAGAGAGATGCACCTTCTTCTCTTGAAAGTCAAAATATTTGTTTTTATACTGAGGTTTTTCATCTAAAACATTGCCAAATGCAAATGCCTAAAATGTCAGTTTTCCTGCTATTATTAATGAACTGTGTGATAAAAAAGTGGCAGCTGAATGACTGATTTTAAAAAACGAATGTTTCAGAATTTTCCTGTCATCCAACTTCTCGTGCTGTTATGCTAACCAGCCTCAGTTGTAGAGCAGTTGCTGAGGTTGGCATGTCCTCATGAAACACCATTGAACAGACGGGTTCCATACGGCTCTACACAACCACAGCTCGCTGGCTGCTGTTTGCTACATGATCTTCATGTTCCAGCTTTTTGAAAGCATCTAATATTTGCCATGCGAAAAAGAAAATAGGCCTTTCTTTTTCCCAAATATGAAGCTTGCCACCAAATTTTCATCTTCTCGAAGAGCTATTCTGCCCTGAAATAAGCCAGAGTCAGTATCTTGTGAGCAACTAGAGCTCAAAATATTAGAATAATTTCATTAGAACTCAAGACTTACTTCAGCTCTACTTTTTGTTTTGCTTTATTTTTCCTTTTAACTCTTAATCTTAACTCTGTAGTATGTGGCTTATCTTTCATTTATGTGAGCTGAATGTAGAGAATATGATGGTTTAAATAAAAGCACATTTGGTCTGAATCACAGTTATGAAACACAGAACAGTGTTTCCTTGCTTTCAGTTAACAACTTTCAAGTCAGCAAACTTCATTCTTTCTTCCATCATTTCTCTTGAATATATATATTCTGAGCAAGCAACTGAATTAAGTAATTCTGACTTGATATAGGATAAAGGTTTCCAAGCTCTATAACTAAGACACTGGGGACACACATAATTGCAGCTGCTCTTCTAGACAGGCACCTGTAAGTGTGTGAGGTAAAATCTTTCTGGTTTGAAAGTAAATACCAATTTTGCTGTT